AGTTAGGAGCTCTGGTGGTGCAGTGGTTAAAGCATTCAGCTGCTAACCAAAATGTTGGTGGTTCCAACCCACTGGCTACTCCACAGGAGAAAAATGAGGCAGTCTGCTTCCATAAAGATTACAGTCTTGGAAACTCTAAGAGGCAGGTTTACTCTGTCCTATAGGGTCACTAAGGAGCTCTGGTGGCATAGTGCCTAAGGCATTTGACTGCTAATCAGAAGGCTGGAAGTTTAAACCCATCGGCCTCTCCTTGGAAGGAAGATTGGGTAATCTACTTCCCTAGTGATACTGCCTTGGGAACCCAAGGAGGGTTCTCTAAGGGTCAGATCCACTTTGACGGCAATGAGTTTGTTTACAGGGTCACTATGAGTTAGAATACACTCAATGGGAATATTTCTTTTCAATTTGTCATTCCTAGCAAAGTAGACCATGTGATTACACAATTTAAAATCATCAGTACCAGTTCATTTCAGCTCATTAATGCCTTGAATGATGATATTCAAGGGTTCCATTTCATTTTTGAAAACTTTAAATTTTTCTTGATTTGCACTTCATATATTCCCTGTTCTGATTATTAATGGATATATGCAGCTGTTTCTTTTCACTTTGAATCATGCCACATCAGCAAATGAAGGTCCCAAAAGCTTTATTCCATTCTCCTCAAAGTTCACCCTGCTTTGAGGAGGCAGCTCTTGCTCAGTTGTATTTGGAGTGCCTTCCAACCTGAGGGGCTCACCTTCCAGCACCATGTCAGACAACGTTCCCCTGCAATTCATAAGGTTTTCAGTAGCCATTTTTCTTAGAAGTTGTTTACTAGGACCCTCTTCCTAGTTTGTCTGAGTCTGGAAGCTCTGCTGCTGAAACCTCTACACCATGGGTGACCCTGCTGGTATTTGAAATACCTGTGGCAAAGCATCCAGTGTTACAGCAACACAGAAGCCACCACAGTATGACAAAGTGACAGACGAGTGGTGGTCCGAAAATTAAAATGTCCTTATTGCAGGTCTTTTGAAATCTTACTAACTGACATTTTGTCCACTTTTCCCAGATGAGTTCTATAACATGTTGAAGAACGGGGAAAAAAGAATCTTCTTTAATTTTGTTTCACTTTAGTGAATCCTAACCATACTTTTCTTTAATCACTTTTCCATGTCTGTCTGATTGTTACATTCTAGGAAAGGATGAGATCTTTAATTCATTCAGTTCGTATTGGGAAGGGGCCAAAACAATGATCATCCATTAATGCTTGGTTGGAGTAGCCTTAGAACAGTACAATTTAGGGAAGATATTTACACCTCCTTCCCTTCTCCCTATTTCCCAATTTGGCATATTCTAGCTTGTGTTTTCTCTCTCTGTAAATCTGAGAGACACGAAGAGACATATTCAGCGTCTTTTGTCTGAAAAGTCAGACATTTCAATGATTTTCTTTAAGGGGTTCCTCATTTGTAACCAGCTTTGCCATTAACGGAAATAAATCTGAATGTCCTATTGTGCATCTTTTTTCTTTCCTCACAGTCTGAAATTGCCTTTGCCAAGTTTTTGAGCTTGCATCTGAAAGACCCTCTCTCATTTTCCTGTTCCCAGCCTCCAGCCCCATTGAATTCCCGCAGAGCTTTCTCAGGCTTAAGGGCTGCAGTGTGAAGGTTGGGAGGACTCGACCTACTCTGCTGACCCAGTGGCCTGAGCCAATCACAAGAGAGAATTGGAACCTCACTGGAGCCCTTCTTCCCATCCCCTCCCCCTGTGTCAGCCTCTTGGAAGAGAGACACTTGGAAGGGTGGGTTTGCAAATCAAATCCCTGGCTCTTTGCCATCCTCTTTTCCAAATAAGAAGGCAGGACCTGCAGCTGAGGTGCAAAGGGGTCATTTGAATTTCAGTGGCAATAAAGTCGGAAGATTCCCACTCCCGTCTCTTATCCTTTCTTGAAGCTAAAGAGAGGAAAGACAAGAATGGTGGAGGCTTTCTGTGCCACCTGGAAGCTGACAGATAGTCAGAACTTTGATGAGTACATGAAGGCTCTAGGTAAGTAAAAATGTGTTCTCTTCTTAATTTGCAGCTTCAAATACTTAGAGATCCTTTTTATGACCTATCAGATTAGCAACAGACAAAGACAGATAATATTGCCATAATCTGAGGCTAGGCATCTCTCACTGAATTGACTTTGAATGTGACATTTGCCCATTTGCCTGTTTTCTTGGCCGAGGGCAAGTAATTGAACATTTGATATTCTGTGGAGGATACGAGGCTTCTTTGTCTTTGTTTTTTCTTCCACGTCTACTTATTATTTGTGCTCAGTATTTGTATTGTGTGATCAGTGGACAAATCATGTCCTAATGAAACTTGCCCATTAGAATCACCATTCCAAAATCAGAAAGCAGATTCATGCTTTGGGAGTTATTGGGAAGTTGCAGATGACTATATTGCTTTCCTTGCTATTTTAGGTGTGGGCTTTGCCATTAGGCAGGTGGGGAATGTGACTAAGCCAACCGTGATCATAAGTCAGGAAGGAGACAAAGTGGTGATCAGGACTCAAAGCACATTCAAGAACACAGAGATTAGTTTCCATCTGGGAGAAGAGTTTGATGAAACAACTGCAGATGACAGAAACTGTAAGGTAAGAAGCCACTTTTTCTCTTGGGTGGGTGTGAGAAGGAGGAGATGAAAGACATTCCCTGTACTTTTGGTAGGAGATGAGAAGGAAGGAATGTTTTCTTTCAATTTGGCCAAGAAGACATGAAGACTAACGTACCATTCTAATGCACATATGTTCGGAACAATGGGTACTTGCTATAGCTCAAATCTCTAATCCATTTGTCTCTAACTTGTGTTTTTCATATTTTACATCACAACTGTATTTCAGAAAGCATTTAAAACTGTTCTTTTGAAAGACAGATTACACTTCATTTAACCTGTCTGAGAGCTTCAGAGAACTAAGTAAATAAATGTTGTTGTTGTTGTTATGTGCCTTCGAGTAGTACCCGACTCATAGCGACCCCTCCTTGGGTTTCCGAGGCAGTATCACTACGGAAGTAGGATTGCCCAACTTTCCTTCAAGTAACTTACTGTATTTTAAGACTATTTTAAACCAGAATGGCCACTAGTCAGAAAGCAGCATATTAGTTTGGCTCCGGGTTTTTATTTGTAACATATGAAATTGTTGCATCAAGATGTACACATTTCAGTCAAATGATCAATTATTAGAGTTTATATAATAGTGAATCTAGAGCAACAGAGGGAATGGTATTAATACTATAACTAAATGATTAGGGTTTATCAATTATACAACTCTTACAAGAAAAAAATCGTAAGTTCTTTGGTTTGGGTGTCAGGAATCTGACCTGTGTTTCTTGCCATGTTGTGCATTTTGTTATGCTCTCAGTCTGTTGTAACTCTGGATGGCGACAAACTCATTCATGTACAGAAATGGGATGGCAAAGAAACAAATTTTGTGAGAGAAATTAAGGATGGAGTAATGGTTATGGTGAGTAATGGCAACTGTCCTTCCTTCCTTTGTATGCCCCTCTCCCATTCTTCTGCCTCCCTGCTTTCCTCCCTCCTCTTCTTTCTTAATAGCACATCTCTAGCAAGGGCCTTAGGAGCTCTGGTAGCATAGTGCCTAAGGCACTTGACTGCTAACCAGAAGGCTGGTGGTTCAAACCGACCAACCACTCCTCGGAAGAAAGGTTGGGCAATCTACTTCCCTAGTGATACTGCCTTGGCAACCCAAGGAGGGGTCACTATGAGTCAGGGCCGACTGGAGGGCACATAACAACAGCAAGGGTCTTTAAGCATATGTAAAAGAGGTTAAATAAAAAGATCCTAGTCCCCCCGCCCCTTGGTTATGCTTCAATAGCAGAAAGAGGTAAGAATTTTAATTAGTGTAGATAAAAAGAAAAAAAAAAAAAGTTGTGATTGATTGTTCTACACTGTTGTTGTTGTTATGTGCAGTCGAGTCGGCCCCCACTCACAGCTACCGCTCCTTGGGTTTCCGAGGCAGTATCACTACGAAAGTAGGATTGCCCAACCTTCCTTCCAAGGAGTGGCTGCTGAGTTTGAACCACCAGCTGTCTGGTTAGCAGGCAGGTGTCTTAGCCACTATGCTACCAGAGCTCCTGTTCTAACACTAGGTGTCAAAAATGTTTTTCAGTAGGACTAGTATTGTTATGTGTTATAGAGTTGGTCCTGACTTAATGAAATCTAAATATAAAACCAATAATCATGAAAATATATTAACATGATTGATATTATTATATATAGATTGTTTGAACTTCCTTCTGAGGAGTAGCTGGTGGGTTTGAACTGCCAGCCTTCTGGTTCACAGACAAATGCGTTAGGCATTATGCCACCAGAGCTCCCATAATTGTGAAAATATATTAATATGATTGATTGATATTATTATAAAACCATGAAGGTTATTGAATCTCAGAAAAAGTAATTTAAATCACCTGTAATAAATAATAAGAGACTGTTTTGGTTACCTAGTGCTGCTCTGACAGGAATATACCACAAATGAGATGGCTTTAACAAACAGTTTATTCTCTTATAGTTTAGAGGCTGTAAGTCCAAGTTCAGAGTGCCAAGCTCTAGGGGCTGGGTGAAAGCTCCTCAACCTTGGGCTTCAGCTCTGCCTCCTGGTCCTGGCCCACTGAAACTAGAGGCTTTTCTTCACTCAGACAGCTGCTGGCTGCTGAGACTGACAAGCCCAAGGTTGACAAGTAAAAAGGCACAGTCCCAATGTTACCAAAC